GAATCGAGTCTGTGTTTGGATATTTAATAGCATCTTGGGTACGGTAGAGGAAGGAAGGCAGAGGTCTACCACAGACAGATTGGCAAGGAAGAAATACATGGGTGTATGGAGATGATGGTCTGAGGCAATGGCCAGCAAGATGAGTAAGTTTCCAAACAGCCCTGCTAAGTAGACACACAGGAAAACTGCAAAAAGAAGTGCCTGCTGCTCTGGCCAACTCGAGAAACCCAGGAGGAGAAATTCAGGGACACCGGTTTGGTTTTCCTTTTCCATTGCTTGAATCTATCTGCATGAAGACCCAGAGGATGAAATACTTTTGACAAAAAAAATTTCCCCTTTTATTTTTTACATACTCACCTTGTCTAGTCCCTTTACTGAATATTTTCTCTTAAGGCCATCCTACCTCCTCTCTGATGCTCTCTCCCAAGCCTTACTGGACATTGGGTAGTTCTTTCCATTTCGTCAGTGTCTTTTCATTTATCCTCCCTTACTGGAACCTCACTTCATCCAAGATTTCCAGGGGAGCTCTATACCTCTCCCTGCAGTGGGCAAAGATTGTCTTCCTACTTTTGATGTTGTTACCAACTCTTGCACATTCTACATTTTGTGTGGCTGCCTGACTGTTGGCTGTGTTGGAAGGTATCTGTGAGTCTGACACACTAAATGACTCCATGCCAAACATTGAGATTTAAATGAGGAAAATTTTCCAAGTTTTTTCCAACACCATATGAACCATTCTTCTTGGAAATAAGTCAGACATCTACCATTTTAGGATTCATAAAAAGTAAATAAACTCTCTTATCTTTTTAAGATGCAAAAGAAAAATATAGTAAAGTGCTTGACAAGTGTAAAAAGTTAAACCTCCAAAAAATAGTTTACAGGAAGACTATAAGCACCATAAGAAAATACTTACAAGTAATTAAAAAAGTTATATAACACATGTAGTTATATGATACATATAGGTAATGCTAAAGGAGAACACAGAGAAAAAGTTATGCCAAAATGGGGAGGGGGCTGATTTAAAAGTTTCTCTTTTAATGGTTTTGTAATATTTTAACCTTAACTACAAAAATGGGCTTCATGTTTCTAAGATATCGTTATTACTTTGGGTCTTGCATTTCTCGGAGTTTTAGAAAACACTATGTAATAGAAGACAGAGTTCCTGATCCAAGAAACATGGAATAAGGTTGTGGAGGAAAAATATTATCATAGAAAATAATTAAGAGAACAGATACTCACAGAGACAGATGAGATCGTTTCAGAAGAAGGAAGGACTCTCTGAGAGAGAGAAAAGATCCTGGAGAGTGTGGGCGCTGAAGTTAGCCCACATTGAAACCAGACCTCACGTCACTTAATCTCTCTAAATCTTAGTTTTCTCGTATGTAACAATTGTACTCACCTTAAAGGTTGTTGTGAAAATGAAATGAGTTAATGTATGCAAAACTCTTAGCAAATAATGATTACTCAGTAAATGCAAACCATAGTTGACAAAGCCAGAATAGGGGTAAGGCAGGTTTCTTTCCCAGTCTCCAAAATGGCTGTTTTAAATCTTTTCTTCTTTTCTCATACTTCTTACTCCATCATGTCCCTTCACATCACTTACTGCACTTACTGTAGTTTCACAGAGAAAACAGAAACCACTATCAGATGGATGTGCCCAATTCCCTGACAAAATGCAGAAAACTTATCCACATCTCTATTCATCCTTCCTCTTTTTCCTCTCCTCTTGTTTACAACAAAAGCAATATCCTTCTTTCCTGAAAAAGTTAACACTTATACATGTGATCTCATCCTTTCCCACTTCTTTTAAAACTCAACTTCTCTTTTCTGTAACTTAAATGTTCTCCTGCTTTATTGCACCCATACTTTCAGCTTAAGTCTCTTCCATGTTTGACGTTCCTTTCCAGATCCATGTCTACCTCTGGCTACTTCCTGACCTTTCTTTCCCCTGTACAACCCCTTACAGAATTGACTTCCTCACATCCCACTTATTTCCTTCTCATGCCAATCTGCCCCAGCAACTCCAATGAATTGCTCTTTCAAGTCTTGAAAAACCCAATGGATATTCTCAGTCATTACAGTGTTTGACCTAGAATTCTCCCTTGGGAAATTCATTTCCTCCTTGGATTTATTTTTAAGAGTTCCTCCAATCTATCTGCCCATTCCTTTTTCATTTGCTTTTACAGAATTCATGTCCTTTGACAGCCCCTTACATGTTGGCATTTCTCTGGTTTTTGTCTTATGCCTTTTTTTCTTTTCATCCTATACATATTCCTGGATGAGTCTATTCACTCCCATGGCTTTAATACTATCTATACGCCAGTCTCTTCCAAATTTGTTTCTCCAGTGCAACTCTCACATTCAGACTCCTATTCCCAGCGCTCTTTGAATGTCCACTTGGATGTCATAGATACCTTATTTCTCATACTTCCCAAACTGAATTAATCGTATTCTCCCTGAACAAAGACTGTTCCTCCCTTTGTGTACCTTTTATCAATAAACCGCAGCACAACGTAGCTAATTATTCAAGAAAAGAACACTTGGGAGTCAGCTCCAGACTTTCTTTTACCTAAGCCCGGTTGATATTACTTTTGGGGAGAAAGAATATTATTATTAAGTAAATATACTTTTAACATCTACCACAACTAAGTCACTGTTCTAAGCATTGATAAATAGTGGTGAATAAGAAAGACACGGTCTTTACCCTTAAGGAGCTTTAAATCCAAGCCAGAGGCTTTAGAATTATCCTTGACTCATCCAGTTCATGACCAAGCCCTGTTGATCTGATTTTTCTCACACCTATATTTCTTCATTCCTAACTATACTGCCTGTGTCATACTCTCACCATCTCTCATCTGAGTACTTGTAATAAACCTCAGATTGGTCTCCCTTCTTATAGCCTTCCCACTTTCAATCTTTCTTTCATATTTCCTGAAGAATTATCCTTCTAAAAACAAGAATTTTCTCACTTCCCTTCTTAAAAACTTCCCATGGTTTTCAGTTGTCTTCAACTCAAATTCCAAATTCCTTATTGTGGCCTACAAGTTTCTTCATAATCCTCTTCCACCTCTCTAGTCTCATCTCTTACTATGCTGAATTTTCCATCCATAGAATTTCCTGATTTACACTGAAACTTTTTGTCTATCTGACTTTTCTCATTTTGAAATTCTCTGACTACTCCATCTAAAGCTTCCCACAAGTTGCTCTCTATTGCATTGCTCTGCTTTTTGTCTTCATATCACTCACTACTATGAGGGATGTTTTTGTTTCTCAAAAAATAACTCTTTATTTATTTTCTAATCTGCATCAATAAAATGGAAAGTTTATAAAAACAAAAATTTTATGTTAAAAAAATCATTGTATGGATAGAATAGTGCCTGACATGCAGCAGGCAATCAATATGTATTTGTTGAATAAATGAATGTACTTTTTAAAGCCTTAGGAAGTTTTTTCTTATATGGGATAGAAATATGTGTCCTTGTATATTGTATAGTGACTTTTATTCTAGGCTGTATAGCATTTGAAATTATATATAAATATATAAAATATATAATTATATAAATATAGAAGATATAAATATCTATAAGTATTAATATTTATGGATTTGTTGTTTTGTCTTCGTGACTCTTCCTTGCTTCTAAGATATTTTGGAGAGCACATGGACTGAATCTTATTCATCTTTGTGTAGGGAAACAAAGATGTATAAACAAAGACTTATATTTGTTTATGAAGACAGACTGATGTTTTGGTGGAATGAGCTACATACCAGAAGATGCAAGATAGCACCATCTCTAATTCTATTATTGGTTCTTCGCCCAGCCCCACTGTCTTGTGTCTTAGCCAAAGGGATGGAGAATCGAGGGGAAGAAACTGAAGAAAATGGAGGGACTCTGTTGGACTATTTTTTCAGTGACTGAATGATGAAACTGAATGGAAGAGAGGAGTATTCTACACACATATATGCAAAGTGGAGAGAGGCAGAGGCATTTTGGACTCCAGAGAACACAGAGCTCATGTGAGAACTTCCTGAGAATTGCCAGACATAATTAAAGCAATTTTCCATGGACTGCAGGGATTGTAATAATAGATAAAATAACAGCCTGCTGTTTATTCCTACTCTTGAGCCTACAGGCTGCTATAGTTTCAGGAAACAGAGGTTAGACTTGTATCACATCACTTAGCATGCTCCTGCCATGAAGAGGGCATTCAAAAATGTTAGTTGGAAAAGTGTTCTCTAACAGCTGTGGAGACTACAAGATTTTCACTGTGGAATGTCAAGTGGACATAGATGAGGAGGGCAGGCTCTGAGCTTTTCAGGAAGCAGAAAAAAGAAAATTATTAACAGTCCTTTTTGGAAGGTTTCTTCTTGCTGTGCTTTCCCCTACCTCCACATTTGCGCTGGCACAACAGAAATCTCTGCTTTTATCATTTGCCATCATTTCTATTTAGGGTTCGCAGGAAGTTCTCACATGAGCTCTCTGCCCTCTGCCTGGTGGATGGAATCCTCTACTTTCTTCCCCTTCTGATCTAAGTTGCTTCTCACTACTGTTCTGCCTGCTTTGACAAAAATGATGCAGTATCGGGGCACTCATGCTTTCAGAGCTGCTAATGCGACTAATGCTCATGTAGCTGTGGGTTCTCTGGAGTCCAAAGTGCCAGTGTCTTTCTCCACTTTGCACGTAAGTTGCAGAATGCCTCATTACGTTGACAGTAACTACTTGTAGTGTGTAGATCCTTCACTTCTGCTTGAAGGGAAATCTCCAAGAGAAAATGGTCCCTGTAACCGTCTTTCTTCTGTCATCAAAATCTCTGCCCTTTCACTCAGGGCTTTTAGGGCATGGTGGGGAATTGCCAGGTGAAGTAGGTAAGTTCTTGGACAGAGGAGATATGAAAATTTAGAGTTTGAGTTATTGCCACTTTATGCTGTGTGGACTGAATAATAGAGGAAACCTGGCTGCAGAGAGGGAAGGACAAAGTAGAGTTGCAGAAGAAGGCAGAGAACCACATAGTGCTGTCCTTCAGCTCTGACTCATGTGTTAATCACTTTGATCAACTAAAGGGATTTTCCCCTATTTATTTTCCCTCCCACCTTTGCAGCTTTGCACCTTTGACCTCCCTGCCCTACCAAACTGGATTCTTCCTAAACTGTGTTCTGAAGACAGAGGTTCCTTCTTTTTTGTTCATAGCTTGGGCTAAGCTCGTACCCATTGGCCTAATTCATACCTATGGGCATTTTAAACCTCATTTACCCAATTCTTTCAATGGCAGTTACA